CAGACACCTTAAGGGACACGGGATCAAATACGTTGTTGCGATAAGCTAGAGAGTCTGCCCAACGTACTGGAGGACGGCCGGGTGGCCGTTTCTTTTCGCGCGGGTACCATCGCACAGTTGCAGCACTCCATCTGCCATCATTTCTCCTCATCAAATGACCAGCGAATCTGTGTTTTGCCTCATCGACGTGAAGGAGGGCGTCTTTCACTTTCGATATGGCTCTGATGTCCGAGTTGTGAAGCTCTAGCTCTCGTTGTCGTCTCAAAGTGAAACCCACTAGAACGGCGTTCGATCGATACCTGGGCGGACTTCAACTGTTTTTCTAAGGATTTCGTTAGAGTCCAAGTCTCTCCTGCGTATGTAAGAGCAGGTAGAACCGTTGAGTTGAATAGATCCGCACGCAGTTTGCTATCCCTAGTATCCTCGGTAACACTTCTTATGGATTTGAAGGCAGCCCAGCCCGCTCTGCGGCGTCTGGTTTAGCTCTCCAGACAGGTCATTCTTCATGTTCAATTGACTCCCGAGGTATATGAATTCTTTGACGTCTTCGATGGGGCTTCCATTTAAGAGAACAGCGTTGCCATCCGTGAACGAATTCCGCATCACCTTTGTTTTTGAGGTGTTGATAACTAGTCCATAATGACTTCCTTCTTCGTCCAGATGACGTAGCATCTCTGAGGCGTGTTGCGAAGATTCTGTGATCAGGACTATGTCATCAGCAAAACGCAGATGATTGAGACCGTGTACCATCGACATCCACTCCAAAGTTGCTCCATTCGCAGCGGCGTATAGCAGGACTCAAGGCATGCAGTGAAAAGATTAGGAGATTGGGTCACCTTGTCTTACTCCTTTTTCTACTGCAACCACGACGTCTTTGTGGAACGGATGAAATACTCGTTGTGCAGTCCGTGTAGCACTCACGCAACACATTTCCACGTACACTCTCTTCGACGCCTTGATCTTCCAGCGCCCTCCATACCTTCGTTGGTTCCACTGAATCAAACGCCTTCTTGTAGTCAATGAATGTCATCACCAGAGGCAGTTGATGCTCGCGCGATGCTTCGATAAGGCGTCGACAGGTCATAATATGGTCGAGCGTGCTGAAAATTGCGGCGAAAGCCTGCTTGCTCTACTGGCTGAGCTTCTTCCAATGTTCTTCGGATACGTGCCAGTATGCAGCGAGTGAATACTTTATAGAATACCGGCAGAAGAGCGTAATGGGACGGTAATTCGCGTTGTCGCCTTTCTGTAATAGCAACCCGTCGTGACTGCTTCCACGCTTTGTGAATCTTTGACTATATGACGTAAGTATTCTGTGAAAGGCTGGCTAATGAGGCTATCAGCTCAGAGAACCTGTTGTGGTAAGCCGCGTCTTTCCTAGAGCCTTTTCCTCGAAGGCAATGCTTGGATCCGCATGTCGCACGTCTGTATGCAAAGCGAAGCAGATTTCTCCGTTGCTATCGGACATGGATGTCACAGCGAGTAAGCTCCTCCGTTTTCAAACATGGGATCATTAAACGGTGCTCTGCAGTCCTTGTTCTGGCTGTTTTCAAAATTCTTTTGCTTTCTGCCGCTAAAAGTCTCGCGAAGATCATGTGGTCTGCCGTGATGCATCGTCCACCCGCTACGCAAGCAGAGTAATATAGATGATGATTTTTCGATGATCTTCTTCCCGGTGTCTGTTCTTCCTTCTTTTCTCTGAGTGACGCCACAGGTAGAGGCGAAAGCTAGACGAGCGTTGTAATTTGGAATAACGCTACGGCATCTGCGATCAGACTGTTTTTATGAGATTCTCATAGACTTCGCTGATATCATCAATCATTTCGAAATATGGCTCCATTGTGGCAGTGTGACTGTCATTTGCCCCGGACGGTGGTGGGCGTGGTAGTCTTCATCGCACAAAGTGGACCCATCCTAGTAACAGTCGATGGTCGCTCCTTGTGTTAAATGAGGGGACGACTGGCAAGTTTGTCATGGCTTCTTCGATTGACAGGAGTATCTAGCTCGCGAAAAAATAGTCCATTTGCGGATACGTGTGCCCATCTTTAGTGTGGAGGTTTTAGAAATTGGCTGTAGCTGTAGTGGATATGATGAATTTCCCAGAAGTTCGCTAATCTCTGTCCAGCTTTTTGGGCCTATAAAAATCTCATCACGTATCCGTGATCCGATCCTGGCATGAATCGCCATTACTATGACGTACGCTAGCTTTTATGACTACTCACAAGTTCAGCTAATTGTTCGTAAAAGTCATCGTGCTTCATTCGCTATCTGCTGTCGGTGCGTAGACTTGCAGAAACAGTAACTCTTATGTCCTTCGAAATACTTGCATTTAGAATGCCGAAAGCGGTGTCCCGTAGAAAGTTACGCTCTGAATGTGTTTTGAGAAGCCTGGTGATACGATGAATCCAATGCCTCCTGAGGTTGAGTTGATTTCACGACCTCCTAGAAAAACTGTTGTTCCATCGTTCCATTTGCATGACAGCGGTTCTTTTCGTTTTGTTTCGCTCAAACCGATGACATCATATTTGATCCGTCGTGCTTCGTCGACTAGTGCCGAAAGCTGAGCAGCCGAATTAATGCCTCGACAATTGTATGTACAAGCGATTAACTGGCTAACTCTTGTCCGTTTTCTTTGGCAGCCTATGGCCCTGTGATTTCTTCGCCTTTGGCTGTTTGCCGATCCAGCGCTGCCTGCAGGGGACTAAGGCGATTTGGAGAAGTGGTCGTAGTATTTTCGTCCCACAGGATAGCCTTACTAGGGCGTTCCTGTTGCTCAAGGAGAGCGCCGTCCCACCAAGAGCTTGGGCACTTTGGGTTCTTTAGTCACGAGAATCGGTATGGGGTTTCGGCGCAACCCTATGGCGAATATTCCGATCCTCGCCTCAAGCTCGTACACCACGACAAGGTAGAACCCGCGTACGAGGAGTTGTGAGCAGAACACCAGATTTTGAGATTTTGGGATTGTAGTAGAATTTTTGATTAGAAACAATTATCAAATAATATCTTCGACCTTCGATATATATTAATATCCGAACTGGTTCTTCAAGCTTGATTTACAATGCTGAAAGAGTGAGGAATCCGAGCGGGAGCCTCAATGGGTGCGGCACAATATATGGTAGTGAAAGCAGAC